ACGGCTTCGATCCTATTTATTGTTAGTTTAGTGGTTAGATAGGTTATTTATAGATAGATATTCGTCACCCATTATTTCCCACCTTTACAACGTACCTGACCCTTAAACTGGTATAAATGTTACACTATAGCAGACCATTTTGGAACCGGAACTGGGACCGGACCAAACCGTAAACATTATGTGATCAGCTTACTAGGGACCGAGACGGACCGATGCTTCCCTAAACGGATGATCAGCCTAAAAAGAGAAAGCAGAGCGTTAGAACAAGCAAAAAGGAAAAAGGAAAGAAAACAGTTAAATAATTGAAAAAAAAGTAAATATTTTAGCTCATTTAACATACAATACTTATTGTTATAAAATCCAAATATATTAATGTATTATCAACGATCTAGTTATTGTAAAAATTGGATCTAACGTAACACGAGTAATAAATAATTGTCAAAACGACTAATTATTTAGCATACGTTACTCTTATATTCATCTAAAAACGAAAGTGATATTTGAGTGTAAATTAAATTGATCTTTAATAAATAACCTAAAGCATCACATGAGAACGCGCATATGCGCACGCACCTACTTATAAAACCATGATTTCAAGTTATTGTACAAATTCTCACGGTTATAGATTTTTTTATTATTGCTATTTTTCGTACTTTATTCACAAGCACAACAATATCGAATTAAAAATCAGTTAGCCAATAACGAATTGTAAACATGATCATAATTGAACGATAACATCGATATTGGATCGTGCGATGATATATATCATGAAATTTGTTCTGCCGAACAAATGGTTGGCTGAAACGAACCGCATGACCAATAAATATCTTTTAAATATTGGGCATGTGCAGAAAAGGAAGCAGATCATCGACTGTTTAGTATAACACATACAAAATCCAATCAAAATCGAGATTTTGTGGACGCACGCAAAACTCGAATTTAACCATACACTCCGTTTCACTACGTTCCTGGTACATCGTGAATCGCTTCCATAATTGTAGAATCATTTCCACAATTGTAGAAATAATTCCCCGCTTCATTACTGTCCTCATCTCTCATAAACAAATTACGTATACAATATGAATCTTGAAGAACGTCTTAAACGACATGAGGAAGGTGAATTAGAGACTAAGATCTCTGTTTTACGTGAAAAACGCGAAAGAGTTATAGCTTCAATGCTTCGTAAAATAAAATTAACAAAGAATGTAGATTTTTGCTTTGTTTTGGACTGTACCAGTTCTATGACTGGATACATCGAAGCTGCAAAGAATTGTATTTTAAAAGTGGCAGATTACATGAAACGTACTAACCCGAGCATTTCTGTATACGTCGGTTTCTGCGGATACCGTGATTATTGTGACAAAAAGGACCGAATTCAGTATTTAGATTTTACCGATTCGTATGAAATATTCAGAGAATACATAGAAAATCATGTAACAGCAAAAGGAGGTGATGACGTTCCAGAAGATGTCTTAGGTGGACTCGATGCTGCAATAACCCGAATGTCTTGGTCTAATGCCACCCGAGTCATTTTGCACATTGGTGATGCACCACCACATGGCCGTCGGTTTACTACTATGTATGACAACTACCCAGACGGTGATCCAACTGGTCTAACGGCAGAAAGTGTTATGAGCAGAATGAAATGGTTAAATATCTTATACTTTTTTGGAAAAATTACTGATGAAACTGAACAGATGATCGACGTGTTTCGTGGCATTATTGGGCAATTCGCTGTGTTTAATCTCCAGGCCTCAGGAAATGATCCGGAAGAGTTACTTACTAAATTTTTTCATGCTACCTGCTCGGCCATCACTTCTTCTGTTTCTGTGAATAGTACTATAATAAAAGATTCTTTTAGTACAAACTCTTTAGACAAAAAGAAACTTCAAATAAATCCGCAAGAACCTGACTGGTCAACCCTTCCGGAGCTAAATGGGAAACTTTTATCTTATAAATTGCCTAAAAAATTAAGTGATATCAAGGACAAAAAGTATTTCAGCAGATCAAACCTTACAATCAACAGCATGACCTTCAAGGTTGCCTCACAACCGTTCTCTATTGGTGCAGAGCGGTATGCATATTTTGGTATTGACACTCAACGAGATAAAGCACAGAAGTTGGTAATGAAAAAATACCATGATACTGATAAAAAAGAAGATTCCATTAAACGATATCTTGAATCTGCAAAAGTCTCCTCAGTAGCGCATTTTCTTGCAATGGAATTCAACTCAGCTGCCAAACAAGTTAATATCAAAGAGAATATTAAATTTATCTATGTGAAGATCTTGAGACAGAATAGAATAGAACAATATTATTCTGTGGAGGAGTACTTCCGTGATGCCAAATTTAAACGTTTCAATGTGAATAATGGTGTAATTACAGAATTTCGTTCCACTCTTGAGGCGTTTTCACATTTCACACATAATTACACTAAAGGGTATTTGGTGGTTTGTGATTTACAGGGCATTGAACTCGAAAATGAGTTTTGGTTAACAGATCCTGCAATACATTGTGTCGATTCTTTAAGATTCGGAGGAACGAATCTCGGAGAAAAAGGAATCAATGAATGCTTTTTAAAAAACCATAACTGTAATAATGTTTGCAAGAAATTAAAGCTTGAACTTGGAACTGGTTTTATTTTTAATATGTTGAAACCGATTAAAACTGGTTTTAACGTAGGTATTGAAAAATCCGCAGAGATGGTTAATTCTAAAGGAATGTGTAAAACTGGACAATGCTGTTGTAATGGAATCGGAGTTGAAAATGATGAACATGGGGCATTTATTTATTATCAAAAATCTGCAGAAATGGGGTGCGTTAGCGGAACATTTAATGTTGGATATTGTTATTTTAATGGAATTGGAGTTGAAAAGGATGAACATAAGGCATTCATTTATTATCAAAAATCCGCGGAGTTGGGGAATGCTAGCGGAACATATAATGTTGGATGTTGTTATGATGAAGGAGTTGGAGTTGAAAAGGATGAACATAAAACATTCATTTATTATCAAAAATCTGCAGAGATGGGGAGCGTTAGCGGAATAAATAATGTTGGATATTGTTACCAAAATGGAATTGGTGTTAAAAAGGATGAACATAAAGCATTCTTTTCTTATCAAAAATCTGCAGATATGGGTCATGCAGATGGAATATATAATGTTGGATATTGTTATCAAAATGGAATTGGAACCGAAAATGATGAACATAAGGCATTCGAATATTATCAAAAATCTGCAGATATGGGAAATATAGATATGACATATAATCTTGGACGTTGTTATGAAAATGGTGTAGGAGTCGAAAAAGATATAAAAAAGGCATTCGAATATTATCAAAAATCTGCAGATATGAGACATATAGATGGGACATATAATCTCGGACACTGTTATGAAAATGGAATAGGAGTTGAAAAAGATACAAAAAAGGCATTCGAATATTATAAAAAATCTGCAGATCTAGGACATACGGACGGAATGTATAATGTTGTACGTTGTTATCAACACGGAATAGGAGTTGAAATAGATGGAAACGATGCGTTTAAATATTATCAAAAATCTGCAGATATAGGACACATAGATGGAATATATAATCTTGGACGTTGTTATAGAAATGGAATGGGAGTTAAAAAGGATATAAAAAAGGCATTCGGATATTATCAAAAATCTGCAGATCTAGGACATGTAGACGGGACATATAATCTTGGATACAGTTATGAAAGTGGGGCAGGAGTTGAAAAAAATACAAAAAAGGCATTCGAATATTATCATAAATCTGCAGATATGAGACATTTAGATGGGACATATAATCTTGGATGCTATTATGAAAGTGGAACAGGTGTTGAAAAAGATACAAAATTGGCATTCGAATATTATCAAAAATCTGCAGATATGAGACATGTAGGCGGAACATATAATGTTGGACGCTGTTATGAAAATGGAATAGGAATTGAAATATATATAGAGAAGGCATTCGAATATTATCAAAAATCTGCAGATCTAGGACATGTAGATGGAATATTTAATGTTGGACGTTGTTACAAAAATGGAATAGGAGTTGAAAAAGACATAAAGAAGGCATTCGAATATTATCAAAAATCTGCAGATCTAGGACATGTAGATGGAATACATAATCTTGGATATTGTTATGAAAATGGAATAGGAGTTGAAAAAGACATAAAAAAAGCATTTGAATATTACCAAAAATCTGCAGATCTAGGACATGTAGATGGAATATATAATGTTGTACGTTGTTATCAACACGGAATAGGAGTTGAAATAGATGGAAACGATGCGTTTAAATATTATCAAAA